TGAATTTGAGTATCAACAAAAATAGCAAGGAATTTCGTTATAACTTGAAAATTCGCCTTATAGATTGGGTACTCCATTGCAGTGTCGAATCAGATCCCTGACAAACATACCCTCGACCATGTGTCCGTCCAGATCGTTGACCCACTGTCCGGTCGAGGCACACAACACATACGTGAATTGTCCGCTAACTGGGCTCTGCAGCATGATGGAATGCGAGTCTTCATCAACTTCAAAAGCGTAAACGCCATCGGCAACTGTCAATTTTAGGCTGTTGGCTTCGCGATCCACAATAAACATGTAGTTGTGCTTCTTCATTGGTTCCAATGATTTCTCAATCCTTTCCAAAAAATCTTGCGCCGCCTCCACAAACTGCTGCATATCGGTAACCTTGACCGGTCGATTCACAGCCGTGCGGTCGTCTGATTCACCCCTCCCGTCGTCTGTTTGATGAGGTGTACCTGTCTGTCCCAGGATTCGACGCCTTTGCCTAATACTCAGTAGTCGGACACCAGATGGAGCGTGCGCAGAAGCAAAGTGGACTCCGTGAGAGGCTCGATTCCAAGACAAACCAAGGGCCCTTGAGGCGATGATACGTGTTCTCATCATTGTTGTTGTCTGTTGCTTGAGGCTGTAATTTACAAACAGTTAGCTTCGGAGAGGAGAACCAGCAAGGTAGTCGACGTTCTGTGTTATAATCACAACTCACAACAGTAGCAATTCGGAGATTTTCTGCGCCACCGATCAGGGGGTGGGACAGGGATGTGGGATCTTCGAATGAAGAATGGCTGCACGTGGGAAGTGGGAGTACTGGTACCGTATCCCGTATCACTACAAGTACTGCGTACTGCGTACTGCGTACTGCGTACCATCGTGTTTTACTGATACATTTTTTACCAATACCGTACTGTTCCATATTTGCGATGGACAGAGCGTTGACAGAATTGATTGGACATCGCATTTGACTCCTCTCTCCCAACAGATTAGATCGAATAGTAGTCTATCTGTAGGTCTGGTGTCGCGAGAGCCTTGCACATCACCAAGTGTGCGGACATGAAGGATAGGTCATACTGCGACCGAAAATACTACTGAGATCGCAATGTCATGCTGTGCCATGATCAGACGTACTGTTCGTTCGATTGCAGCACCTCCCAACATTCATAACGACACCAGGCGGATCTTATCGACCGTCACGATGTATGAGGAAATGTATGCGAGCTCAGAAGATTATACAATACTTGACGTTGGACAATATTTGTCTGATGTCGAGCAAGTACTCCAGCCACGGCCGATCAGGTTGAACGAGACACTTCGGAAGTGTATGCTTCGAACATTGACAGGTGTTCAAGATATCGATCAACAAGTGAGAGAGCTAAAGGAGCAACTTCAATGGGAAAAAGCAATTGGTTTTGCCCAGACTCATCTGTCGCCCTTGGATGATGCAAGATTGCGAAATGCTGAATTCTTTCAATCCGGCACCGATCCGCGCAACCATTTTCGAAATCCCGCCAGGTGGTTCAGTTGCATAGCAACAGGAAGAGAGTTTCAGGGAAATTTTCTAGGGATGCTTTGCAATATCGCCCCGGAGTCGATAGCAGAATACACAAGGGCTATCCAGGATATTGACGAGAAGCAATTGCAGGTGATGTGGATTGAAGGTAGTGACATTGGCCACAAACAAGCCGCAATCAGCTGCGTTGAGTTGGATTTTCCAAAGCAATGGTCTGCTTCGGACGGAGTGGCGCTAGGTAGGCAGTCCGAGTCGCGCCTGCTTGCATTTCTAAATCAACAAATGATATGCGACACCCAGCGAATAATCCTGGAGAACATTCGCGTAAAACCTCGCGCCGCGAAAGGGCATAAGGATTCAGGATTTTTTGTGTGCGAAGCCGTCAGCCTACTAGGCATGACTTCTGAGTTTGACTGCATGGTTATTGAACGGGATGGAGAATGGATCCGTATCCACGAAGTCTGGGAAGCGAAGGCTACGCTTCAACCTTCGTCCATATTTGATGCATCAGTCAAGAAATTTTCTGCTCTCACTGCCATTCTCGAGGATGACACAGCCAGATTCATTTTGGATGACGAACAACTGCGCTTGCACAAGGAAATCCCTCTCTTTGGACTGTTTGGCAGCTCAATACATTCTCCACTTTCTGCCGCGCGTCGATTAAACTCAATTTGTTGTCAAAGATTGCTGTCACAGGACGTGAATGCCGTTCTGGAAGCATTGGAGACGGGGCATGTCATGGTTACCGAGGACGAGCTGCTGAAGGGGATGCAATCCTTTCGTGTAGTTTTGGATCGGGTCAAGCCAGTGATCGCTGTGCCACGTCCTCTCAATGACACTGAGGGGATTAGCTTGTCGACGTAATTCCAAGGATGCGCGCGATCGTAGAATTTGATTATGAAATGTGCTCTCTTTGGTCGAGCTGCGCGTGCTCTAACATAACGTTTCAATCTCTACAAGGTGGTGGATATCCTACTATATTACCTAGCGGTGGGTCCAGTAGATGAGGTATGCGCTTGGAACCGCATCCAATTACCTTGCATCTTTCATTGGCTTGTCTTAACTCGTAGTGAGTCATGCATGTATCATGATAATGAATCACTCTATGATAGAGTTTTCATGATTTATGATTCATTATTCTTTCAAGAACTGTACTCCGCACGTACGATAGATAGTACGGTATACGGTATCATGACACGCACCTCGCACAGTCGAGAAATGCATACTGCAAGCGACAGCATGTACACTTGTACTTTTACCTGGTACCCAATTGCCGAGAAGCTTCTGATAGTTCGTCCGTTCATCCTCTACTGTTGTACTGCGAGTACGTGTACTTCGTAGTTGGCCTACCGGTACAGGTAGTTGGCATATGACATATGACGTATGTTCACTCGAAAGCTCTTCCGATGTGTACAGTGTACTGTAACAATGTGTACTACAAGTATCATACCTGTCGTCGTATGCGGAAACTGAGAACTGATGAGAAGAGCTGAGAAGAGAGAACTCTACAGTGTGAGGAATCTCCATCGATTGTGTCCGAAGTCCATGTCAAGTCCTGTCGAACCGTAATCCTTCGTCGTACAAGATTAACAGGAGGACTACCAGTACCCGTATTCATTATTGGACAGCTATGGAGTGGCCAATCAAGAACGATGATGGCAGTTTTAAGACAACTCCCACTGCTATTGAAATTTGGATGGAATCCATGAAGGGAGTTGTATCCCCTGAGGCGGAGGAGTGGAGATCGCAGATAAAGAAGGTCAAGAATTGGCGGAATGAATACATCGATGTTGTTGAGAGGCAATGTGCCATTATGCTCAAGAGCCATCCTGATGTCGCCATTCAAATGGCTAAAGATGGATTGGAGGCGCTCAATTCCGCCATGTTGTTTCGAATCGATGACAACACCACCGTTTCCGCCAAGGAGGCCTTTGAGAGAAGCGACATCGTTCAGCTCGAAACAGCCACGGTCACAACGTCCAAGCCCGAAGTTGCATACCAGATTCCTATCTGCTCACCGAAAGGAACTTGGTTGTCGGGAGACAAAGCCACGACTCAGCTCGTTGCGTGGAGCGATTACGGATGCATGGAAGAGAGTGCGTCTCATCACGCGTCGGCAGTTTGCAAGCTTGAGGATACCTCGACGCTGATAAAGGAGAAGGTTTTTGTCTTACTGGGCATTACTTCAGAGATGGGTTGCGCGAAGCCTATTCTACAGATTCCTGGTGCTCAAGTTTTGGGAGTCGCCAGAAAGGGGGAGAGACTCGATGCATTCGTTAATTGGTATAAGGAACACGGAGCGGGCATGACTACACTTCAATATCCCAAGGAAGGTGCAGACATGCTACTCCAGGGACCTGAGATTGCCAAGTGGATCGTGGACACAGTACCACGAGGTAAGGAAGTTATCATGTGTCAACTGGCATACATGGATGGCGAAGCACATGTCCGGATAAGTGTTGCCATGGACTTGATCTGCCAATATGTTATCACGCACTCTCCGAATAAGGTTTCACTTAGCTACCTAACATCTCCAGCAACCGCGCACTCCATTACGCCTGATGCGGCAGAGGACGCCAAAAGGAGGCTGGATGAGCGTCCGACTTGGCATTCTCTTACTTACATGATGAGTATGGGATCCTGGTTGAAGTCTAATAATTCGTGGGAAAAGGATGGTCTGTTGAATGGGCTCTCGCACCTTCAAGGTCCGAACTATGCTCTGGCGAAAACTAGTCAACAATGGCGATGCATGGTTGAATATTGGAATGCCAACAGAACTGTCTCTTGCCCACACGCGCCGCCAACCAGAACAGAAAGCATGGTTCGATACGCGACCATTTCAGCTGCCTTGGAGGGAATGCAAGTGTTTGAGCCTCAGGTTAGCTTCTCCGTTGAGTCCGCATCAAGTCTTTTGACTGCAGTTATGTTGTACCATATCTGCTACGACGACTCCGCGGCGAATCCCAAGAACATGTCACTGATCGAACACCCCATGCACATTTTCTGGGATGGCTCAGTTCACGGAGGATCCTGGCGTTGCCCATACGATAGTGGCAGCACCGGAACGCTTTCTTTTATCTTTGGAAAAACAATGGGAGGCCCATACGTCCCGGAGAACTCGGTGGCGGATGAGTAGCCTTAGAATAAGCATGTACGATCATACTTTAAAGCATTTCATGTCGCAAGTTTTTGATTTATCCAGGGTCTGGAAGGTCTTGCTTCAGACTACCAATTCTAAAAAATCGCATGGATGTGGCATACGGCGTACCACAACCGCCTAGATGTTGTTTTACTTGAGGCATCGATGCGGCATATGGCATATGTATACGACGACATGGAAAACCTCGAGGGTCGAGGGTCGAGGGGCAGGTATAAACAGTAGGCCAATACTGGTACATGGTACTACCGGTAGTACATGTATGTCATCGCAGTTGCGAAAAAAGTAAAAAAGCATTTTCTAAATGGTTGTGAAGTCGGCAAAAGAGAATGCTAATGCACCAACAGGGAATCGAACCCCGGGCAAACGCTTGGAAGGCGTTTATGTTACCACTACACCATTGGTGCTCTTCCAGAGCCGGTTGTGGACTGTGTAACCAACAACATTATTAAATACTGCAAAAATTTAATCTATCTACTATGCAAACAGGTCCAGGAACAGAATCACGACGCATTATTATCGATGGTCAATGGGCAACCAACACCATTTATCATCTTAATTACTGCAAAACCACATCTCGAGCTATAGTGCAGGAACAGAACTGCGCATGACGCATTGTTATCGATTGGTTGTATGTGCTATCATTTATCAACAGAGGACACACAGTCGTCTTCTCAGTAAGCTTATCGAGCAGGTTCTCCACTACAGTACTCCGAGTACCTGGTACGGCTCGCTACCACGTACAATGGCCTGGTTACATACGCCTCGCACATTCTTCGATCATGACATGTGCAGTCAACCTTCCGCCTGCATCATCCTCGCAGAATCCTAACTCCGAAATATATTACACCAAAGACAGGTCAAGATAGATAATTGAAGGAAGGCACCATTATTCTAGTGATTGACTTAAACATGGTGACCCGAATCCATCAGAATGATTTAATCCACTTGACTGGACTGCCACGCTCTTCGCCGTTGTCGTTCGATTTCTTCGGCAAGGACTCCTTTCTTTGCTTCAGTTTTCCCTTACGTCTCTGTGCATCCAAATCCTTGACAGGCACTTCCAAGGCCATCCCAGGAGGGATGGTGTTGAGGTCGTAATCTCCGTACGAAATGCGAATAAGCCTCGTGACATTAAGTCCAAGATGATTCAAGATCTTACGAATCTGACGATTCTTTCCTTCAACACATGTCAAGCGTATCCAATTGTTAGTGGAAGACGCACCGCGATTTGCCTCAAGTTCTACTACCATCCCCTTGTACCGTGTACCTTCGATCGTCATTCCAGCCCGGATTGCTTTCAGCTTGTAGGGCGTCAGCTCGCCATGGACTCGTACTCGATAAACTCTATGAAGTTGATTTGAGGGAATCTCCATCTCTCGTTTATAGCTTCCATCGTTGGTTACCAGAATTAGACCCTCGGTTGACATGTCAAGTCGGCCAATAGCGTTGAGATGATCCAACTTATTTCCAACACCACCACGTCGAAGTCGATCTAACAGAGACGGTCTTCCCTGCGGATCCTGTTCGGATACAATTTCGCCCGGGAGCTTGTGAACTAGCCATACCCGCGTTTTCTTCGTTTCCGTCGCAGTTTCGCTAAAACTTAAAAGCTTTCCAGACAATTTAATTGCCGATTTTGAATCCTTGAGTGATAACAGAAAATGTGGACTCGTGATCTGCTCCCCAGCCACAGTCACTTCGCCTGAACGGATCATTCGTTCCGTTTCTCTTCGACTGATGGCCATGTTGGTAGAATGCTGGGAAATAAGCTTGGACAGCCGAATCAAGCCTCCACCAGGCGGGTTCGTCGAAAAGGAGGCAAATTGTAACAGCGAGAAAGGTCTTCGTCCTTGACGTATCAAATGATTTGACAATCTTGTGGGTATTGCATGATTGGAAAACACATGGGGCCGCATGGAGGACGCCGCAAGTTCTGCAGCTATTGACAACATGTTTGCTGAAGCACTGCGAAATTGCCGCAGTCTGGTAGGGTGTGACTTATGGGTTGAGCTGTAGAGGTGTTGAGCAATTGAGGAAGCTTCAATTTGACTGCGGACAGCGACGACAGACGGTCAAGTTAGGAAGGCCACAATACATTTCACAGGTCGTTGACGACTCGTCACTGGTAGCGATTGGCGACTGGTTATGTATCGGTGGGAGTGCCACTGAAACTGCGGTCGCTACCAACCTCCCAACTCCCAACTCCCAACCAGGCCTCATTATTTTCGGGGTTTTTTTTATTTTCCGGAATTTTCCCGAAATTAAGGTCTGAGCAACTCCCGAAAATAACGGTGACGTGGCACTTTTCTCTCGTACAACGCCGTGTTAAAAATGCTCAAACTTTGACGGTCAAAGGGACGATGATAAAGTCGTCAGATTTTAATTCTGAAGTTGCAAACTAATCACCATGACACCCAAGAAGACCAAGGGTGCTTTGAAATTTCATCAAGATTGGGAGGTGAAGTATGCTGTGCAGATTTGCGCACGTGATCCGGTGTCAAAAGATGTGACGAGTGTGGTGTGTTTGATGTGCACAAACTTCGGCCGTGACGATGGTGACGCTCCTGACCGCAAGCAAAGAGGACATCAAATGATAAATACTACACAGCTCCATGGCGCTCTGATAACTTTGTCAGCCATCTTCGAACGCAGCATGCAACAATGTGGGAGGAGTATAAGAAGCTCACACGAAGAAAGAAATCTTTCTTTGTCACAACCGAAGCACCGGAGGCAGTGAACCTACGTTCCTTTGTTCAACCAGAAGCAAGTGTCAAGGCTAAGATTATTGCAAAGCAGAAGTGTTCCTTTGTCATTGATGGAGATATTGTGTCGAAAATAATTGCTGATTTACTTCTGACTCCGGCAGCAAGAACAACTGAAGGTGGAGATGCAGACGAGGTTCTTGACGATGACCCAGATGTATCCAATGCATCCTCGCTATCATCCGTAGCTAGGTCAGAAGGAGAGGAAGGTAATGACAATACTGATGAGCTGCCTACTAACAGTGATCACTTTCTCGTGTTGGAAAAGAAAAGAATCCTGAAAATGTTCGTGTATAACCCTGAAGATGATATGTACACTGCAAAGGTGAACTCCGTACTCAAATTGAACCTTGTGGCCAAATTTGTTGCGATTGGAGTGTCATTCCGCCAAGCCAGTAAGTTATACCATTCGGTAAAAGAAGAAACAGGCATGGGCTCATTGGGATCAGTCAATGATTATGAAGTTGGACAGCTTTGTCGCATCGTGTGTGCAGTCAAGAATCTACAGTACCTCAAAGAGCTCTTCAAGAAGATTTGGGCCTTCTCAATTGGACTTGACGCTGGAAATAATGCAGGTTCATCATACCTTGACATCCGGATGCGCTGCTACTTTAAAGGTGACCTTCAGAATCTTCACCTATTGGCTATTCCAATGCGAGCGACACACTGGTGAATACCAGTTCAACCTAGTAGTAACTCTTCTGGATGTTCTCGCTCCAAATTGGAGACACCAGCTGATTGGAATTGCAACAGATGGTGCGTCAACCATGACAGGTTGCGTTAAGGGTACGAGCACTCGTTTATCAAAAGAATGTCATTCTCGCATCTTCCGAATCTGGTGTGGCGCACACAACTTGATCTCGTGATGAAGCGAGCATTCAACAAGCTATGCAACGAGAGATTCCTTGACACACTCACAAGTGTCACGGGGCACTGCGACGTCAGCAGAATTTGATTGCCGACATGAAGTCAACATGTCCAACATTCGTCACAACTCGGTGGATGTCAATGGGAAAGCTTTGAAGTGGTTGATTGACAAGCGAGTACGATTGATGAGACACTTCACTGAAAAAGCCGGCATGCACACCATCCATTGACTGGTGGATTGTTGTTGCAGTAATTTACCCTCTGGTGCAACGTGTTGAAGCAACGTTCACTGCACTTCAAGGTATGAACACTCTTGTGTGCGAACAAAAATCACAATTGTCCAAACTTGTTTATGATTTGCAAAATCGGACATGCATTGATGGCCCCATGACTGCTCAAGACCGTGCTCGGCTTTTCCCACCAACGCCGGAAGAACAGCTTCTTTTGAGTGAGTTCTTCTTTTACAACTCGTACTACGTAACTCGGGTGAAGACAGCTGAAGCCATAGAGGAGGCAGGGATGACAGTGCAGATGGAACTTGATCAATTAAAAGAAGCGAGCGGAATCGAAACAGGGTCGCCATACCATGCTGTCCTGAAGGCAGTGGCATCCTTTGGGCTCATGATTGTAGATGGCGTGTCAAAAATTGTGGCTGAGCAACGTGGTGTAGTTGAGGATGGAGGTGTCCTTGTCATGGATGAGATTCCCCCTGTTTTACCAGTTGATCTGTGTGGCATGACACCGCGTGATTTTTCCAGAGCATTACAAAATCAGAAGGATCGTCTTTTGGCAAAGGTTTCAGAGGATGATATTGAAGCTATTGATGCCCAATTCCGACGACTCAGGATTGCATACCGTGAAGAGACAGGATTGAAAGTGATGTTGGATGCAGTTCACTCCCAGGCCACACTTCAGGCCTTCAAAGACAGTTGGAGCCCTCTTGGAAAGGAGTATAATGCATTGAAAGAGTATTGTGGTGGCATTGCTAGTGTGATGCCTGGGACAAGCTCGGTGGAATCCGATTTCTCCCTTATCAATTGGACACGGGATCCACATTCAAAGTCGTTAACAGACTTCTCCTTGGAATCAATTTTACATTGCAAACAATACAGAACCTTGGAGAGTCTGTCTACTTAGTTATTAGTTCATGAGTGTTAAGAAAAGAGTTACTTTTAGGCACTTAATGGCGAGCAAATAGCGTCAAACAACCAACTCCCGAATTTAATCCGAAAATAAGTTTTCAAAACTCCCGAATTTAGCTATTTTCGTTATTTTCGGATTTACACGAAAATAATGAGGCCTGCTCCCAACTCTTGCTCCGTAAGATTACCACACACAACCGTTGCACTCCAGTACTCCAGTACTGCAGATACCGAACACTACTGTACTTTCTCAAATTTGTATCATACGCGATCGTACGCCACGGAAGAGTACTTTTATGAATGCATTTAGTCTACGAGGACAGGCTACTCCAGTACAGCTATACTACATGGTTACTGCCATTTCGAGTAGTAGAGTCGCGTAACAACCAACACACTGTGACCGTCGAACGCGATCGGTATCGTGTTTCTCATCAACAAGTTTTACAGGGCTGCAATCGAAAAAGCAAGAAGTGAAAGTATTGAGCTCTTTTGACCGATGAGCGTACGTTCGTCGATCAATAGCCAAATCAGATTACTGGGTTGCAGTCGACGGTTCTCCACAGACGATGCACTTGATAGGATATGTGAACTGGCAGCATCAAATCTGCGGTTCGGACCAGGCTCGACCGCAGA